AGAGCCCATTATAATTAATAGAATGTATAGATACTTTATCAAGCACTTAAATCAATAATTGAAATTACATTATCGTTAGGAGAAATATATGAATGAGGTAGAATATTACAAAGTTTTCAATACTAATGAGTGTCAAGAGCCTAGAAAGTAAAAAAATAGAAGGGTAAATAATATGAATTCTTAGAATCTCATGAGTTATATGGTAGCGATTGCATGCACGAATATGCATTCCAACTTCCGGTTAGTACTTATGTGTGTGTGTGTATTCACGGATCTTTTACTTTTGTTCATAAACGTGCTCGTCAGCAGTACACTATTTTTTCCTCTCAACTGTCAGTTGTTTCATCGAATATTTAATATTAATAAAAATGATAATATGCGTAAAATTATTATTGTAAAAAATCAAAAATTAATTTTTTTAGTAACTTTAAGAATAATTTCGTGTGATCGTAGCAAATAAAATATTCATGTTAACGTAAAAAATAGTTTATAGCAGCTAGAAAATGATAGAAGCAGATTGTGAAGAAATCGACATAAAAGTTCAAATCAAACGATTCGAGCTAATAGCAATGGTTAAAATTTTATCGATAACTTCAACTTCAACAAACAGCTTCAATGAATTGAAGAATATTGTTAACTTAAGTTGAAATTATAAAGAAAAACGGCAATTTTCAATAAAGTCCAATCAAGTTCAATAAAACATGCAATGTGCGCTTATATTCGCAAGAGTATTTACGAGAGAAGAGAGAGAGAGAGAGAGAGAGAGAGAGAGAGAGAGAGAGAGAGAGAGAGTGATCTTTGGATTGACTGTGTGCACAAACCGTTATGATAAATAAAACAATTCTTTGTGTCAGAACAGAGAATGCGGCGGGCGGTGAGATATGCCATCTTTTCACCATTTAGCCAATGTAAGAAATACCTATAAAAATTTCTGACATCGATAAAATTGGAACTCAATTAGCACATTATAATGCTGAAAATTAATGTGTACTTAAGTACGCTCTATTCAACATCCTGTTCTGAGTACGAAACACAAGTGTTTGGCGAGTAGAAATTAAGAGCGCTACTACGAATTTTTTCAACAACCATGGAAATGTTACATTGATCGTACGGAGTAATTGTATCATATTAGACTGATAATTGATGGCCAATGAATTTAGTAATTAATAGAGAAGCATAAAACCCGATCAACGTTTCAAGCTCGTTTCCCTCATCGATGTTCTAATATAATTTTGCAAGATGAGGCAACTCTAGCCGCGAGGGTTCCTATATGCCTATAGGCCACCAATGTAAGAGGTTTTCTTTCTTATGCTTTCAATGAAAAAGTAGCAGAGATCTTGATCCATGGGGAAGCAATCTTGTAAGAAAGGTACACCGAGTCACGAGGATATTTTTCACGTTCACAAAAACTTAAAATAGGTAAGATAGAAGGAAGGAATAGCATAATGCAGAAGAGTCTGGGCACTTTTTAGCTTTAGGAGAAATTACAGAGTAGGCAAATCTCGCTCTTCTCTGAAAAAAAAGGGACTACGAGACTGATAATAGCAGTAAATAGTCATTTTTGCATATCTGCTATAAGTTTACTTTTTCCATGTTGTATGCACGAAGAAAATAAAATGCATAATTCCTTACAGAAGTAAATAATAACCACACATTCATATTTTCGATTTTTCCTTTTTGATAACATATTTTCTAAAAAGATCCTGATGTTTAGTTCATGCGGCTTTTCATGAGGGTGCACAACGTTTCGACGTTGAAAAAGGAAAGAAAGATCGATCAAGGCCAAATGCGACACGTAATAATTGTGAATGCGTTGAGTAAAGCGGCATGTTGTACTCGGCACGAGAGCGAACTCGAAGAAATTTTCCGTCGCGGCCGCGGTTCTCATTGTCCGTGTGAGCTCTTTGAAATTTCAGCAGCGTTATGCGCAAGCGACGCGCAGCGCGATTCCATGTGCGTACGCTAATACCTAGTATGCCTGAAACGACTCACACATGACAAGCAACTCCTCGTATATATAAAACACGCCGTATAGACGGAATATATTCCGTACTTGGACTCTTGTGTGCACGCCGGACTAAAAATGTGTGCGTGTCCACATATATATACACAGTCAGGCAGTCATGTACATATGGCGCACTGAATACACGAGCACGCATGCACGCACGCACGCACATCGTGTTCTCCGTTCGACGCTTTATACACGACCATCGCACGCTGCTACATGTATAGATATACAAGTATCGCACATAGTCACTGCCACCGGTACGTAGTTATAGCGCAAAAGAGGGGGACAGCTGGATCAAGATGGCGAAGGGACAAGAGTACACTTCAGCGAGTTTCTCCTTTTTCCTACCAGTTTAACGTGTTTAATGCGTACATAGGCATTGTAGCTTTGTAATTGAGGGCTTGCGTGCTCATGCATTTACACATTAAAAGTGCAAACTTTTACTTTCTTTCTTGAGCATTTTCACAAATTAAATTGACAAACTTTAACCTCAATTCATCCTCATGGCTCGCGATTAACTTTAAAATTTATTTGAAAAATAAAGTTCGACTTGACACTCATTTTTTATTCGATATCAATTTTTTTCAATTTACATAAACCCATTATCCAATAATTTGTTAGTTGAACAGCCTTTTATTTTAAAATTTCATAATAAATATTCATCAACAGTGTCAGAAGTTATTTTATATTACACTCTAAATTGTTATTTCAATGCATGCACACTAATAATTTTTTAAACAGATCTCATATTTAATATTTTTTAATTATAAAATGAATCAACACAAATTTTCGGTTTGAAATCGTTTGACTTTGCTTACAAACAATGACAGACGCGGACGATATCAATCGATCGTAATAGATTGAATGCGAAAAAACTCGACCGGCACACTTTTATCGGTAATTCTAATTAGTATATTCAATCATCAATGTCACCAATATTATAAGCGTGTCAAGATAAAGTAATTTAAGTTACTCATAAAAGACGAGTAATTTTTGAATTAGGAAAAACTTTTCGAAAAAGATTACGATATTAATGCAATTATGCAACACTATGAGCTATTTTTATGAAATGAAAGTTAGATGGGTAATCTTTTTTTTATGTTTTCAGGCTTTTATCGGTATTTATTTGATAATTATTTCCACAGCAAACAGTTTTGTAGAATTTATCATGCGCACGAGGAGGCCGCGAACGAGGGTTTTTCGCCTTAGGCTTTTGAATAAGAAATAAATGATTGGTCAATAAACAGAATCGTCACTAAAAACGTGTAAGAATAATTTGCAACGAACAAGCCTCAGAGTCGGCAGCCTGCGAGGGTCTCACGGGGCTTGCAAGCATACATATAGACATGGGGAGTAACGAGAGTTTGGGAGCAGGACACGATGATGAGGACATTCGGTGCGGATTTGAGCGGCGTGTACGCAGGCTCTGGCGCAGCTATCGATTCCCGTTGAGTTTTATAACGCACACGCGTGTGTTGGCCGTTTTCAAAATGGCGTGGCACTACAGCGCTTGGCGTGCGTAATTTTGTACGTGCGCCTGCATTCGGTATGATTTGCCCGAAATACGACTGTTGGTTGATAATCGTCGACTTGACTCGTTGAACTTGTCGTCGTGCGCAGTGGTATCAAGCCCATTATAAATTGACGTGCGCTCGTCGTCACGGTAACAGCGGCAACGAGACGCGCGTTGAGAAGCTTTCCTATAACAAATTGCTTCGAAATTTTCCCCCGGCCTCATACTGCACCATGGATTGATACGTAGTGTCAAAGAATTCGATATCGTTACTAAATCTTTGCAAACCGGCCTAGCTAAGTAGCAGTGCGTCAGCTGTGTAATGCGATTGTACATTGAGGTTAGGAGAGTCAGGACACTCCTATACGTACCTGCGAAAAATATTGAACTTTTATCCTCCAAGGAGACAATGACTCGAACTACGATTACTAGCGTATCAAGTCGGAAAACACGATGAAATACGTGAATTACCGTCGAATGGCTAAAAATGGGAATACTATACGGACATTTCTCATGGCAAACTCGATCAAAATTTAACGGAATTTTCAAAATAACAAAATATCGGAGTAAATTGCGAATAGTAGAATGTAAAGAGAAAAAAAACTAATGTTTGAAAGCTCGCACGGCGCGACTTTGAGTACAGAGTATTGAATTTCCAACTAGTGTCAGCGTCGAAACAATAACATTTCTGCCAAGTCTGCTCTTATCGAATTAAGCGAGGCAGAAAGCCACACAGCGAATCGAGAGAGTGAGAGAGAGAGAGAGAGCACGAGGCGCAGGGTACAAGATGCGAGAGAGTGGCGTAGCAGATATTAGTCGACTGTGCGGAGCCACACATTTTCTTTCAAGCTGCATGCCATCGACCGAAGAGCAGCAGTGTGCAAACTTGGCAGTCTCGGGCAAATTCCCGAAAGATCGCAAAAAAAGACGAGCGAGCGTGCAGAGAGAGGAAACCAAGATTAAAGAAAAGAAATGGAGTGTAAGATACATCGAGCGAGAGCTATATACTCTTGGACGAAACACATCATTGAAGCGACGGGGCGGATCTCTCTCCTTGGTTCGTTTCGGGACGTAATAGTAGCTAGCGGCAGCAGTGGCAGTGGCAGTGGCAGCGGCAGCGTCAGCGTCAGCGAAAGCGGTAACGGTTTTCGTAGCAGGCAAACGCGCGCGCGCGCGCGAAACAAAGGCTAGCGAGGAGCTCCTCGCCAACCGGCGTCCAACACCGGGCACTTTTTTTTCAAACCATGTCCAGCATATCGAGGCCAAGCTGCATTTTAGCCGAGAATACACTGAAATTGTGTGCTTTTGGTGCGCGCGCGATGTTGGGGGATATAGCGTAGGGGGATCTTGAAACGCAGGAACACGATGCGCGACACACCTTTTCGCGGCTTTCGAGTTTCGGAGCATTGGAGACGAGCCGAGCCGAGCCGAGCCGAGCCGACCCCCCATTGAATATTACGTAGTCTCGAAGATGCTTACCTTTTAGATAAGACGCGTGGCTGCTCGAGGTGTGCGTAACTTGGTTCCGCACTCCGTTCCTCGATCGAAGCGAACAACTCTCGCTATTGCACTTGGCACAACAATTACAAAAAACTATAGGAAATATCTTGGGCTATATATACTTGAGCGTATATATAGAATCACTGGTTGGTATATTCACAAAAAATAAATATATCCTGCTCGAGCGAACAATGCACAAGTTCACAGGCACACAATGCAGAGATGGATGTCGTTGCAAATCACTGATTCACCCGCGACAAAGTAGTAATGTACTTGCGTAAAATCGGAGCACTATCGGGTTTTGAAACTCGGCAGAGGCGCACACACCAACGACGAAGAACAATTGACGAGTGCGAACGAATGCGCGTGTACAGGACAAGGAAAGTCCAGCGAGAATCACTCGGGGCTCGTGGAGTAATTTCGATGTACAGCACTGTGTGGAAGCATACACACTGAATGAACGTGTGCGCGTGTGTGCGTGTGTGCGTGTGTGTATGCGCGCGTGTGCGTGTGTCTACGTAGGGGAAAAAAAATAGCAGAGGCGATACGAGCAGCGCTCTGTGCCACGCAAAAGCTACGCAGGGAATGAGAACCAGGGAGAGACGCTATGCTAGCGAAGCAAGCGCAGGGGCGGTAGATCACTCTCCCCCTGAAACTCCCACTTTGCGCTGGTTCGCGCGCACACACATGCACACTCGATGTACATGGCAGAGCCGAGCCGAGCGGAGCCGCAGAGTTGGCGCGTGCAAAAGAGAGAGAGAGAGCAAGAGACTCTACTCACACATGTACACAATACACATATAGAGCTATGGGTCGGGTACTCGGGCGAGAGTCGAGAGAGCGAGCAGCGGCGAGCAGCGGCGCTCGGCATTCGGCGGCGACGCCAGCAGCGGCAACAACGTCGCGCGCGCACGACTCGCTCCTATCCTACATATCCAGCATAACGAGCGAACGTGCAGCAGGCACGCACTTGTGTAAACTTGCCCCGCTTCCCCTCCTCATTTCTCCGACGTTCGCTCGCTTCTCGGCTTGTCGTTGCCGCAGCTATAAGCTAGCTCTGTATCTCCTTCTCGATATATTCACCAATACGTGTATTGTATAAAAAATTATATACTTATAGGTACGCATAGAGAGCGAGAAGCGCTGGATTTTTGAGCTAACCCGGTCCGATTCTCCGATCGGCATTGCGTCCCAACACCGGTCCCTCTAAAAGACCCATCTTTGCTCGGATATCCATACCTATGTGTGACTCTGTTTCTCGTGTTTTCTCTGCACACATGGCTTATGCACATCGATGTATAGTAGTGTTGTATACATACTATGCGGCCGACTACTACGTGTAGCGCTAGTGCTGGGAGGGGACCTCGTACAGTCGTACCCCGGGCGCAGCTAAAACTGCGACGTAGCTCGCGCCGCGTTACGCGTTGACTTGGCGGGACAATCGGCTGCAGCGATTGACGAGTGTATTTTCCGACATTCTTTGACCCGATGCCGGCAAAATGGACGCTGAGCCGAGGCCGATACGCCGACGACGCCAACACCTATATAATCTATGACATATAGCAACCATGTACTAATATATTATACGAGTAGGCGACTCGGTCTTCGAAGCGTATCTCGGGAGGGCCGCGATCGACTTCTCGAGCAATATTTCCTATGCTGTTCTCGCTGCGAAGAAACGATTTTGCCGATGTCGCTTGCAAATGATATTTTATAGCTCGCGATCCGTGTCCTCGGCAGATGGCGAATAGGCCGTCGAACCAAGCCAAACAACACGTGTGAGCAAGATGCATTTCTCATGACATTTCTTCGTTTCAAGCCATTCAAGTTTGATATTATGTGCTCTAGCGAAACTATACGCGGCTCATTCGATCATCTTCAAATATTCAAAGTGAAAGTCCATTAACGAGCTATAAGAGAAGCGCTTCATTTCTTTTTCCTCTAAGCGTTACCGCGGCTCTGCGCTTAGATAAGCGTAGCGTAGAAGAAATTTTGAGATTTCTCATTCAAAGTATAATACGGCTGCACAGCGTACAAATACTAATTATTAAACGAAAATAAAGAAAGGACTGTTATCGTCGTGATAATGGTGACTGTAGATTTTCATGTCACGACACTATTCTACTTATCAAACGTGTACAGGAACGCTACATAGAAATGCGAAGATAATGCACAGTTAGTGTACTTTTTTTCTAATTTGTAAGAATATTAAAACGTATAAAGAATTTTTGATTGTATGACGAAATTCGACCGGAAATGCGTCATTATTTTGGAAATCATAGCTAGAAAACACTTGGATCGAAGCATTTTTCCTAAAACAATATAAATTTATGAAATTAAAGTCGGATAAACGCGTTCATTAATGTCTTAATGTTTTTGACTGAATTTCCTACGAATTTAGGTTTTACGACCACGATCTCTAAAATTATCATTAATATTTAAAATATCTTTACGACATAGAAAATTCAGGATATAATGTTAAAAATCCAGTGATTCATGCAAGTATTGAAAAAAATCAAATGAGAGATCATTTGAAGATAAAGTTAGGAGGGAAACTGGTCGAGTTTCCGAATTTGGTCTACAATTGGGCAGCATCGCGAAGGAATGCGTGAAAAAAAATGTGGCACGATGAGAAATTCATCAAAAGCCTGTGTGCGAGGGGACTCGATAAAAGTGGCTGCGCGCGGAGAAAAATCAGAGCCACGCAAGATCTCACACTCATACTATAACAGAGTAAAAAATGATGTGAAACTAAGAAAAGCAGAAAGTGGAGGAGTTGGAGCTGTTTTGCTCCAATACAGCTGAGCACAACAGGCGCAATATTTTATAGTAAAATGAGAACATCAGCGTCGTCTCCTCTTCTTTTCATTCTCGAAGCCTATATGGCACGCAGCACATATTTTTGTATGTATGTACGTATATAGAAAATAATACGTATGCTGGCCGTGTGTACGTTCGAATATCGCTCACGAGAGAGAGAGAGAAAGAGAGAGATAATTTACGAATAAAAGCAAAGGAGAGTGAACGAGCGAGGGGTATAAGGAAAAAGAGAGGGAGAAAAGCAAGGCAAATAATAGGAAAAAAATTGAGAGAGAAAGAGCGAGAATGAAGGAGCACGAAAGGAGAAAAAGGAAGCGTAGAAGCAGCAGTGGCAACGGCAACGGTGGCGGCAGCAGCCGACTACATGCTTCGGTACAGAAGCACAGCAACGTTGCGATGCGCACACGAGCTACAGGGATAGAGAGAGTTTCAACTGCGTGTACAACAGGGTGGGGCCCTTGGATCGCAGGAGAGAGAAAGAGGAGAAAGACTGCTACGAACGAGGGAGAGAGAGAGAGAGAAAGCGGAGCTCGGCAGTGGCTACCACCCGCCGCCGTAGCCGCTGGAGGAGAAGCCCGAGCCGCTGCTGCCAACAGGACGAACCTGCGCGACGAATATGCAGCTTCTCTCTCTTTCTCTCTCTCATCTTGGCTCCTCTAGACGAGCGCATTTAATTATACCGCGCCCTGAGCGACGCTGCCCGACCAAGCATATACACGCGCATCCTATCCTATAGCTGCGATAGCTATATATAATCTCATCGGCCCACGCTTCTGGCGCAACTGCTTTTGCTGCTACTGCCTTGTACTCTGCTCACGACCAAGAGGTAGGAGCCTGCAGCTCGTTTCTCGCCGAAAATGCGCTCCTCTACGCGCGCTCCTTCTTACAGATGCTTTTGCAAAAAGTTCCTGTCGCGGCTCGGCCCTTTCATTCCTCCTTGGGCTAACCCTGTCGATGACACTCTCTTCGACTCGCACTCATATCGTGAATCCTGTCACTGTTATGCTTTTTACGCCTACTGTGGCTTTATAGACAGCTCGCACATATATACGATCGGGCTCTTTCTCATAGTCCTGAGCGCGTTGCTCGCAGACTCTTTTCACGTATCCAAACTGGGCCAGCAGCAGCAGCAGCAGCAGCAGCAGCAGCGAGAAAACTTTATCGACTCTTCCATCTATTTCTCGTCTTCTTGTCTTTCCTTATTCTCCATTTCAGCCATGCGATGCTGCTTCCTTTCGTACTTGTAGCCCAAGTGTATCGCGTGCATGACTAGTACACTCGTGTTCGACGCGAGCAACGAAGCGATAGCCATAAGAGCGAGAAAAGGGTTTTTGGCTAAAGGCTGCACCTTCGTGATCGCCTGTGCGACTTTACATTCCTGGCAATTTAACTGAACTTTCGAAATAATACGCCAAGTGCTCTATGAACACGGACAATTATTTGGCTCAAATTTTTAGCATTTATCGGAATACCATGCCGTCAATTAGGATCATATCTGCCCAGTTCAGGACTGTATGCCAATAAAACGGCGAAGAAAAAAAATCGAAGCTTTGTAAAATTTCAAGTTTTTTTCAACTCTATATGCTTCAACACGAGCCTTTGTGTAAGACATATATGTAACTGTATGGAATATATTGCACACACGCAACTGCACGAGACTGGCGTATATATCTAATATATAGATATTGCTCGAGGCTGCTGCGGCATTGAATTTACTGCACGGGAACATTGCTAATACGTTTTAAAGATGCTGAGAGATAGAGAGAGAGAGAGAAAAATACAGAGAGATATTCTATCGAGCATTCTAATGCCACACAGTTGGGCCAAAAAAGACGCGAATGAAAAACTCGTCGTCCAATTTTCTCAGCTTCTATATGCTTTGTCGTTCTTATGAATCTCCAATTGCCAGACTGCTGTAAAGTGCCATAATGTTTCTTTTATTTACATTGGCACTACTTGTATTAAAGAGCGGGGAAAACCATTCACGGACTAAATGTGCAACATGTGCGCCTTGCATGGATTATTCTGCTTCTGTTACCCCGCAAGACTAGCGTCGGGCACTATTCCGCGGGGCAAAGGCTCAATCTATACGTGCTCTTCTTGGGGGTTTATCTTCTCTTTGCGTCCTGTTCTTACTGCATTACGTCGTCGGGTCATCTCTTTCTGGACTTCACTTCGATTCTCAAACTTGTCACGGCTGATTGTTCGAAGAAGCACACTGCTTACCACGTGGTTTCTGTTGCGAGCATCAACTTGTCCAAATCAAGCCCAACAACCGCAATTTGATTGTCCTCGTCGCAAACGACTTCGAGGCGTTTATCGAATCGTAGCCTGACGCCCATGTCCATCCAGCCGGGGTACCGAATGCGACCGCGGCAGTCATCAGAAGAACTTTGCTGTTCTCGTCAGCGGTTTGTAAGCTCCGATCGCCCAAAGTTTTCTACGGAAGAACTCGTTTACTCGCATCTCGACGTCGTCTGCCTGCTTATGGTGATTACGTTGAACAGCGATATTTCCTCCATGCGCGAGCGCGTGTGTGTGTATCGAGCAGCCGCACCCGTCTGTTTGCCTCGCAGCAATGTATATAGCAACGATACAAATGGACGAAGGAATAAAATGTGACAGTGATACGACTCGGTGGAAAGATCGTGGCAACGAGGTTGTTGTTACCCGAAGGCCGACGCCCTTGCGAGAGAGCTCGGAATATTAGATGCCGCGAGAAAGAAAATCCCAGCTTACCCTTTTTCCTTCTTTTTTTTTTGCCAATGCAGATA